TTTTTGCTTTGATGCAGTCATATATAATTTTTAAGGCAATGAAAAAAGAGAAGAAACTAACAGTTTTCCTCTCTGAAATATTTTTCTGATGCCTTTTATATCTGGATTTTCTTCATTGATTGTTCAGACCTCAGAATGCTTCCCCCCTCCTCACCCTACAAATCTTCAGCCTACTCACTGCTCTCACTCTACACAGGACCCTCTTTGTCTTGTAATGAGCAACCCAGCTCCTCCACTGCGGGTGAAATACCACTGCTTCTGCACCAGTGAAAACCATCCCTGCCAACTGTGAATAACTAAAAAGAAAACCTGTGCTCAGTAGGAAAGTTTTAAATTTATAATTTCTTTTTAAATTTGTCAGTTCTGCATTTAAAAACAAAAACCATCTCTTCAGCACTAGCACCTTAGACATTCAAAATTAAACACCATTAGACATTCAGGGTCTCATTCTAGTCTCTACTGAGTAAATATTTCATTACAACAAGTTCACACTCTACTGCATATTCCAAGGCTTTGAATTAGCACAACATTGGAATGCAATTCTCAAGCAAGCCAGGAAAAAAAATCAAAATTCCCATATATGTTTGACAGAAAATGCACTGACACCAAGACTCATTCCACTGCCTTCACCAAGTTTTCAGTACAGCCCTGGTGACTAAGCCAGATGAAGTTGTAAAAAAGACCTCAACACTGCTTTACTTACTCTTCTTGTGCAAAAAGCTGCCCAGAGATGGCATTGACACTGCCCGGTGTGTAGTTCCAGACAGTCTCTCTAATGCCAATGTAGTACTCCCGGTTCACTGCCCCAGCGTGGCAACAGCAAGAAACCAGCAAGCAGATTAGGAGAAATAGCTTCATTTTGCATTCATGGACCTTGAGGAAAATAAGAAATAAAAACACAGGATGGACACATGCAATTTCCTTTTATATGCTCCTATCTCACCTACTGCCCATATCCTTAACTCCCCCTCCCTGCTCCTGTTCGCTTTTGTGAAAACAATAAAAACAATTGCACAATGTCTCTGTGTGTCAAGAGCAAACAAAAGATTCTGGTAACTTCATCAGTTCAGAAAAGCAAAGAAATTTTTTCTATTTCTGCCAACCGACAATCACACAAAATAGCATTCAGTTTGTTGTAGAGTGCAAATCTTGCCACTGAAATGAAAGCAGATTTAAATGGATTTACAGACTTGGGAATTCTTTAAAAATGTCATCTGTGCTCTGAGCACTGACACAATTATACTCATTCTAAACTATAATTACAAGTTTCCATTGTATGGCAACTTAAAATTATCTGTAATAAGCAGGATATCCTTTGCAGCTATTTTAATACTGGGCAGAAAAATTATGATTATTTTGGATAGAAGACTAATATTCAGAATATAACTAAAATATAGCAGTTTTACCTTAATGACATAAAAATCTAAGTCTTGTTCACCAGGACTATGGTATAAGATAATTCACAAATTTTAATCACTATTCCTATCAGTCACTGCCAGAGTATTTAATTTCTTCATATTTCTACACATCTGGATTAAATTAAGGGTTCTACTTCTCTCTAAATGACAAAGCCAAAGCTGAGATTTTGAAATCTGCCCAAATCTATGAGGAAATTCTGGAGTTTCACAGGTTGATGTCACATGATCAAAATTATTTCTGTAGGGATTTTTTTTCCTTTGCCACAGATGAAGATAAGTAGAGCAGTGTAAAGATCAGCCTATTGGGGTTGCAAATACCCCAATTGTAAATTAGGTGAGGTAAAAATGAGCTTTTACCTTCTATTAAAATACTTTAATTCAAAGTTATTCCTTCATAAATCAGTTGTTCATGAGTATGTAGGTTTTTGATATATTTTTGTTCAGATTTCCATTTGATTGAGGAAGAGACAAAACAACACCAGCAATACCCTTGAAATCTCCACATTTATTTGAGGGTAAAAGTATATGCTTTACTTTGCCTCACACCTCCAAATATTCTAAATTACTCTTCCTTTGTTTCCAAAAGAACGGAATGGGTTTTTTTATGTAAAAATATAACAAAAACTTCTGACAATATTTTCCACTCCTGCTTTTAATTGCACCTCCCCCAAACTTTCAGATTATCTGTATGCCTCTTATCTTATTCTTAAGGAGCTCAAAAGTACCTCAGTTTCTGAAGTCTCTATTATCTTCAGAAGGTGTCTGAAAAGCAGGAACTTCTCTCAGGACCTAAATAAAAAGACCCTATTTAATTCGTTAAATTATGGGTGTGCAGTTTGGTGTCATTAACGCTCCTTAATTGTTTTAAACCATAGTACCTAATTTCTCATATTGAGGATGCTGAAATACTCGGACTGTTTTTGAAATCCCCAAAATTGCATTGAAAAGATAAAGCAAATATTTTACTTCCAAAATTTTCCTTGAAAGAAAAGAATACATAAACCCCCAAATGGAATATTCTGACTAAAGGTCACGTATATATTCATATTCATAAGGTATGCATATCATATATATATATATATATCATTCATAAGATCACACAGCGAGGCTGAATCGAACCCCCACCATTTCACAACCCTTGCATTTGAATGATGTGTGTCTGTTGCCTGCAGCCCATGCTGCTGCTCTGGTTGCCTGTAAACCTCTGCAGTTAAACACCATTTAAAGAGCTGGTGCAGCTTCATTTATCCTCTGCTGCTCCATGTGGAAAACCCCTCTATCCATAATGGGAACAAGAAGGAAATTGTAGTTTTGCCAGAGTCACTTTTGCCTACACAGATATTAATATACCCTAAAATGCAAAGGTGTGGGTGGGGCTCCACAGTATTTTACTACAAAACTGAATGTCTGCTGTGATTTCCACCTGCAGCCTTTTAAATGAATGGCACGAGTGTCCCAGACACAGAATCCTGATACTCTGGCAAAACGCACTGGCGGTGGGGGACAAACAATGCTTGGACTCCTGCTGCAGATTCAGCACTAATCCCTCTCTGCCAGGAGTGCATGAACTCACATCCGCAGCTTTCTTCCTCCTGTGCCCGGGGTGTTTCACGTGGGGATTTCAGCATTTTGTGTCCAGGAACTCTTGCGCAAAGAGGGGTTTCTCCGCATTCCAACACGGTGCCAGCCTTGTTCTGGCCCTGAGGGCCACTTCTCCCTGTTGTGGAGTGAGGTCTGTGCTCTGCAGCTGCACAGTCACATTGCCTCAAGCACCACCATCAGGATCATTGGTTATGTCTAGATTTCCAGCCAGTTAATTAAAATCCTTTGCAGGAATCTTGGTTCTGCTACCAGAGACAGCTCATAGCACCACTTTTTAAAGACCATATACTTAGGTTTGAGTCAGGACTTAAATGATTAGATCAAGGTTAACTTTGCCTTACATCCAAAAGGCCTGTGTGAAACTGGCTGTTAAATTTGGAAATACAGCCCGCTGTTAGCCTTTAGTATTCTTAACAATTTCAAATCAATAAACTGCATCTTTAAAAGCAGAACCACCAAGTTGCAGCTGAGGCTGGTTATGGTAATGGAGATGCCAGATTCTGGATTATGGGTAAAAAGGACTGCAGGATCAGGAAGCCAAACAAGAACTATATTACATGTCTCTTTATTTAATTTAAGCCCCAAAATTAAGAGATGTCTGTGATACAGTGGAAATGTAAATTCACCAGGCACAATCACACAAAAAATGATAAAGACAGATCCAGATTTTGTAGGCAAGAAATCAGCAAGATTCTCTAAGATGTTTGGTGGGAGTACAGGTTGCTTTTTAAGTTTTCTTTCTTTTCCTTCTGTTCACAAACAACATCCACAAATCCATAAAAATGCAGGATTATAATTGAAGATAAATGATATGTCACATATTTAAGTCTAAAGAAAAACAAGTGTGCAATGACATAGTCCTCATTTTATCATCATGCCTTTGTATCATGCATCCCTGACAATCCATGCCAGGTTGAACCATCTCCCAAAAGACTAGCCCCATTTTTAGATATTATTAATTGCTTTATACTTCTTGCAACTTAAAAGAAACTAAGCAATTAAAATTTTAGATGCGTTCTTGAAATCCTACAGGAAGAAATCAGCTATTCAAAACCATCTGACAAAGGAATATGGAGGCAAAAACTCAACATTGTCTTGAAACAGAACTAAATGACTGATATATTCTAATTTTTTCTAAATAATTTACCCAAAGCTGACACTTATTGTATGGTTTGCATTTCTAACAGTGTTTAGTATTTGATGACAATGTACCTGAGTTGCACTAGTTCTGATGTAATATGCATACATGCATTATTGCAAGTCTGAAGTACATATTTCTCTTTCCTCTTAGGGCTCAGAAGAAAAAACTTTAAAAAACCCCCAAAACCACGAGTGCTAAATACAGTCAAATGCTGGCCATGCAACTGCAAATGAGTCAGCTGTCCACTTCATTGAGAATCCCTGAGAATTTTCACTGAGAATGAAAAAATAATTCTCTGAGACAGTAAAAATACCTTTTAGCTGCTAATTTAAAACAGGTTATTCTTTTTCATTGGATCATCATTGTCAAGAATGTTAGCCTTTCATTGTAGCAAGGTCAGGATACTCGGAAGAATATTAACAAGCTAGCACTGGGTGCTCACAAGGTTCCCTCACATGTTCCCTCAAGTCCAATCATACTTGACTGAAAGAAAAAAAAAATTCCTCTAAATGTAAAGTGAAAAGAAACCCAGTGCAGCTATTGAAATGTACCAATTAGTAGAGCTGAGTTCAGACCTGTGTGTCCAATAAGTCAATCAGGCCCAGGTGCCTTTTTTACCACAAAAAGACTTGAGAGACTTTTTTTCAGTAATTGCTTTTTGCAGTTACAAACTTCTAAGGTGGAAGGACGGGGGTAGGCTCTGCCCACCTCCTTCCATGATTGCCATCATGGTCTGTCTGTAACTAAAATTCACTCATTTAGAAATCATGGCTTCACTCACTGCACTAACCCCTCTTGATGATCAAAAAAAAGGCTTTGAACCAGGCCCTTTTGAAACCACAAACAGTCATATGGTCTAAGCAATGACAAGGGAGTACAAAAGCAGTTCTACAGCATCCTATTAAGAAAAAACAATAAGGTAATTTCAATACAAAAGCAGTTCCATTATAGTAAAATATCCCTACTGTCACAACAAGTTGGAGGGTAAAAAAATTAAGTGTCCCTGCCAGGCTCAACAGGACAGGTGAAGAAGAATGTAGATGTCAGACAGTTCAAATAGACTTCATCCAAAACACAGAAGTTTGATGGATAGAGATTTAAGACGAGGGTAACATTTTTCTTTGTAGCACTCAAATCTACCGCTATGGATTACGGAGAGGCCATTTCTCTCTTTTTCTGGGGATGGGGGAGAAGCAGCAACAATTTCCTTGCCATTTTCAGAGAATTCCAGCCTGCAAGTAAAAAAAATGTGCTAATCTTTCTCATCATTGCTGTGAAAGCCACACATTAGTAAGAATGTCTGTCAATTGAATGTTAGAACAAAGGTGTTCAGCAACCTCTGCTGACAATAGTAATGGACTTGGCATCCACGTTAATTTCCTAAATACTTTTGTTTCTTCTCAGTCCTAGTCTGAAAGGTCAGAGTGAGCAGCCACCAGCCTCTGTATACCACAAGAAATTAGTGGATGAATCAAAACAAACCAATGTATTATCAGTACATATTCTCTGGAAAAAGTATGCTGTAGCATAGAGAATGCATAAATCAAAAGGGTAGGTCTCCAACTGAGAGAAATTGCTGAAGCTACAGTGACAAGGAGATGCTGAATAAATAAACCTCAGATGTTTTGTTACCTGCACAAAAACAGAATAGGTCCCACAGAGTGTTCGTTTCAACTCAGCGGCTACTTTGAGAATACAGATGATCAATTGCAGTCCGCTGAGTGCTATCAAAATCGAGAGTAAAATAATATTCCACTCCACTATGTTAGCAGGTTCTGTGCACTTAGACCAGGCAGGGTAATCTGTGAGGTACCTATTAGAGAAACATCAGACTGAAGTAAGAAGAATGTTTCTGACTACTGATTTGGTAAACAACTTCTTCCAGAAGAGTTACACCAATGTTTCTTACCCCCCAGCAGTGTCTTTGAAAATATAATTCCATCCACTTGATGAATTGCAGAAGGGGCCTTGAATCAAATGCAGGGTAAAAATGATGCAACTGTATCCTGAGAAAGCAATTCCAAGCAGGGCTAGCACAATAGAAATAAAACTCTGAAGTAAAGAGAGAGAGAGAAGTATTACCTTGTGAGGATAGTGTCAACAGCAAATAGGATCATTCAGTGTGTCTAGCTACTTCCTTGGGGCTGAATTTCACATTTGATTTTCCCAGTCTTCAAAACTCAGGAAGAAAAATAGCAGGTAAAGAATAGTAAGAATACGCATACAAAGTAAAGGTTGAGACAGAGTTTAAGACAGTTATACAACTATAAGTTATATATTAATTGTGTGGGGTTTTTAAATTTGCATTTTTGTAAAGTTGTTTCCTAAAATACAAGAGGAATGAAGCTGTGTATTAAATATGTCTGCATCCCAGACAGAGTGTATTGAGTAATTTCTGAAATAAAACACTTCCAAATAATGCAGGCAAAGGGATGAAGCTATTTAGCTGGTGTGCTTCGTTCTATGTTCTTATTTTATTTTACAAGGATTTGGGGAAATGTGTGTCTAATTTTTTTTAATCCTATTTATGCTTCAGATGAAAGAAGCTACACTTTCTGTGACCTTGCAACCCAATTTAGAATCTTCTGTGAAAGGAAGTGAAAACAGAGCAGTGGGGAGGGCAGCAGGATATGCAGGAGCATGAGCAGGAAGGCGTTGGAAACAAATGCTAATGTGATGTACAGAAATAAAACACAGACTCACCCTGTAGGTTTTGTTACAGCTCTCACTCTGGCAGCACTGATAGAACACACTACACTCCAGTGTTATCAGAATTACTGCCAAAAGAAGGATCTGTAAGAGAACATCATAAGGTCAGTGAGATAACTGCAGATACTAAGCCAGAGTCTCCTTCACCTTTTTGGAAGGCAGGGACTGCATCTCATCTGCTGTCTTGATATTTTAAAGCTGATCCATAGGACAGCACAATTACTCAAGGCATACATGGAACTGGAGGGGTTTTAGCAGGCTGCTGGTGTACTTGTGTCTTGTACTTGAAAGACAAAGAGTACAGCCTCTACCATGACAGTAAAGTGCTATGACCTTGGGCACAGCCACACCAGTGAAGCTGAAACTATAAAACCAAGGTCACAAACAAAAGAATCAATATCAGTGAAAAGAAGGATATTTTATTGATACAAACACATCAGTTAAACGCCTTCTTGCTGACACAGGCACACAAATCAGAGTACTGCCTTCCTTACCAACACATTCACTCTAGAAAAAGTCAGTAAAGCAAACTTTTGATTACATTCACCTGGACTTTCACTTGTCTTTCAAGTTCATTTGGGTAAAAGAGCTCTAATTCAACCTCCACAGGTGATTAAATTAACATCGTGTTTGCCTCCATAATGCAAGCATAAATTACATATAAACAAAAGGACAGCAGAAAAAAAACCCCAACACACCCTGCAATATCATTTGATATCATTTGCACTTAATAACATAGATAACTTGTCATTCAGTAAACTATTTTTTTCAGTTTGATTGAGTTTTCTGCCTGCAGTGGTTTTTGTTGAAGAAATCCATATGCTCTTTTTTTAAAGCAATTACATTACTGAAGAGTAATCCAATATTATTTGCAGTAGAATGCAATTCATTAAAAATTCACAGACTGAGCACTTACCATCACACCTGAGAAACAGATGCCTTCAAAATACCACTCATGGTTGGGGAACTGGTAACTGGCAGCAGGCAGAGCTTTCCCGTTTGGAAAGTATAGGAGGACATTCACAACAATACTCCAAAGTGCCAGAGGCACCAGCAGGCAACTCAAACAGTTTCCACATGTCTCCAAAGCCATCTCTCAAGAACTCTTGAAGTTTTCTTCTAAGCTAATAAAAGTTTACAACACCTTCAATATAAGACACATTTTGACCTCCCCAGCTTGATTCAGTAATTCATATTCACAGGAACCAGTGACTGGGGTGTGAGTCCAGGAACAGAAGTGCTTAACAGTTAGCAGAACAACAGATGAATATCACTGCGTAAACTCACTGTCCTGTGTTAAAGATGGCTTTATGTAGTCATTTCCCTTTTAAAAGACCCTCCTTTGTGATCTTCCAAATGAAATATGTCTAGGAGTCAGACTCAGGAAGGAACTTCAAAGCTGTCATTTCCTAGTGACTGCTCAAAAATGTCCTCCTCCCCACACACAAACTCAACATAGTTTGTGACAGAAGCAAGGTTTTTCAACCTTACTGCAGCATAGGGAATGGGGCTGTAGGAAGATAAATATGCCCACTCTCTGTACAGTAGACCACACTTCGCCTTATACTGCAGAGATTTGAAATGAACAGGGCCAGGAGACTTCTTCACCTTTTTGATGCCTTTATTAAAAGTGATCAGCTCAGCATTGGGCGGCTCCACGGGCCCACAGTACCCGTCATCTCTCCCACGGCGACTCAGCAGAGGAGGATATGCACAGCTCTGTTCACTATGGGCAGAGCTGGGGAAATCCCGTCCTCGTGGGAGCCTTTAGAGCGTGGTATTCCCCGCCAGATGTGTCTACCTCAGCCGACTGTCTTAGCAGGCCCTCATCTCCGGAGGCTTCTCCCTTGGTCAGGGCGAGAGGCTTCGAAAGTGTTCCGCATCTCTGCAGGCCCAGCACTCGGCTCCTCACGTCCAGACATCACTCCAGTCTCTCAACTCTTATCTGACTCGTTGTTTTTGGGGTCTTTCCGTGGGTTTGGAGTCGGGGGTCTCACAAAGCATTCTGGTCCTTGGAGTTACTTTGCATAACCCCCCCCCCCCTCCAGGTCCCTTCTCCTCACAGTTTGGGAAGGTCCCCACCCTTCACTGTGTCTGAGGAGGGCCATTAACTCGCCCCAGCCAGGGCTTTTACTAATACAAAAACAACCATTAACGACAACGACCCGTGATTACAATAACAAAACACGAAGAGCTTCGGCAGCTACAGTGATCTGGCTGCCTTTTTTTGTAACTTTTTTCTCAAAAAAAATATTAACCGAATTTTGTTCATAACAGATTTATTAGGAGGACCCTAAGGGGGAACCAATGAGTTAATGACTTGCAGCAGCAGGCTGAGTCTGGGCCATCTTGCAGAGACTACAGAAGCCCAAATAACACTGGTTAGAAACTGCAAGGCAGTCTTATTTTAACACTTTTAATCAATTACTCTTTCCCACAGCATTATGCCGCTCCAGTACTTTGCGAATTAAATCCTGCTATTTCTCCAATTGTTTCATTCTGTTCTTACAGCTGAGCTTGCACAGCTACAAGCCTGACCTATGTACATGTGACTTCTTGTGCAGGACAAAAGGTCTGGCTGTTGTTTCGAAATGCCTGCTGTTTGCAGAGTGCAAAGCCAGACAGCTTTCCCATAATCAACGTCATCATTCCCCAACCCCTGAGCACCTAAACACTATCCCAGTAACACAGAGCCGGGGCAGTTTGAACACTTGCAGCACAGCCCAAGCCTTCAGTCTTATGCCCCTGTGAGTCACCAGAAAAGTAACTCAAGAATGACCTTACGCTTTACTCAATAGCAAAGTTGCAGCCAGAGGAAAAAAAAAAAACAAAAAAACCCCCAACAAAACAAAACAAACAAACAAACAAACCAAACAAAAAACAAAAACAAAACAAAAAAAACAACCCCCCCAAAAAAACCCCAAAACACAACCAAAAAAAAAAAAAAAAAAAAAAACTCAAAAAACCAAAAAAATCCCCCCCCAAAAAACCCCAAAACACCCCACCACAAAACAAATACAAAAGGCGCCTCTATCAAAAGCAGGAAGGCTGTTTTTAGAAGCAATGACATCCCAATGTATTTTCCTTGTGTTTCCTTGTGAGCTGTTTCAGGCTTGTCACACATGAGGCCCCTCTCATCCTCTCATAAAAGCTGTTTGGATTGCATGTTGTAACCAATTCCATACTGTCGCTTAACATGAGATCATACAAGGAAATGGGCAGGGTGGTACTCACACAATTACACCATTCTTCTACCTGTTCTCTGCTGTGACTCTTTTCCTAGGAGGCTTCATTTTGAAGTCCTCACTCTTGATCTTCTCATATTTCCTGTTTTACTCTCCCATCACTACGGATACTTTTTTTCAGGTCTCCCTCTAATCAGAATTAGTAGCAAACCTGCCTTTCCAGACTCATAGGCAGAGACAGAACTCATGTCATCAACACTATGCCACAGAGAGCACAGAAAACAGCTGCATAAAAATCATGCACATCCAGTCCCCATGAGTTTTTAGTACAGAACTTAAAGATCATATAATTGGCTGAAATATTTTCTTAAAAGCAAAGGCCAAGATTAGTAGCAAGCATCTTATTTTATAATCAAATTTAATGTCATTTCCATTATAACTTGTTCTGATTAGAAGCTAACTTGAGAAATGATGACTGAAGCAGCATTTGTTCTGCAGTACAGCAGTCTGCTTCATGACTTTGCTTTTAAACTGAGCCCTGCAAAGCTCAGTGTGGTTATTTTTCTGGCACACAATGCCACTAGAACAACTACTTTATACTAAGAATTAAGCAAACCTGTAAGCTAGTTTCTCAAGCATCTGCCAAGTGTTGCAAGCACTGCTTTTACATTGCTGTCATTATTCATGAATTGATTCCAAGCCTGTTACTGAAAATTCATGTTTACTCTGTGTGACTTTGCTGCCAGCTGATATGAATGCAACCTAAACCAACCACTTCTTTACAGTGTAACTGATAAATCTCTCAAAACACTGTCTTATGCACCAGACAACAAAATAATCCAGCTGGCCATTTTTTACACGACAATGTAGAGAGTAATGCTGTGCATTAGGGCTACAGTAATCTATTGGAGCTGCATGCATTTGTGGTGAAGTTTTGGGTCTGAACACTAGCCGAATCATTCTATATATTGGAATTCTATATATTGCAAAATTCTTTCAGTTCTTTAAGTTATTGTGTGTACCAGAAAAACAAATAACCATTATACAAGAATAAAGGCAAAAATCCTTAAGTTGCATGGTAATTACACATTATTCCATTGAGGACTTTCTTTTCCATTTTCTCTTCTTCCACACCCCATTTAAACTTGCAGATATTTTTTTTCAGAACTGTATCTTCACACACACAGACACTGTATCACACAGCTGCAAGGAATTTTGTGTGTATACATATGTGCATGCATATTCTCCTTCCTCCCTCCCATAGCAGGACAGGACAGGGATAGACACTACAAAGAAATGGAATTAAATGGCATCAAAGTCCCTCAATTACCTCTATGTATTTAGAGTAATCCAATATTACGTATTTAGCTAAGAATAAACACTCTTGCAAAATTCAGGTATCCTGAGATTCTAGATATAAACTCTTTTCATATGAGAATTCTTTTGCTGATGTAGATGTACATAGACAATTTTGCTTTCACAGTTCACTTCTTTTTTTCAGGTATGTATTTGTACAGGGCAGACTTAACTGCGCAGACAGCCTGAGATACACCTGAGGTTTCTGGCTGTCTTTAAGGGCCACCCTCCTTGTTACAAACAGCCTAAGGATGCACTGACACCCACTGGAACTTCTTTTTATCCCATGAATAGAAACTAACTTGCTTGTTTTCAAAGACAGTATGAGCAGCTAAATTCCAAAACTCAGCCTCATTCCTTTGAAATAAAGAGCACATAACATTTTGGTTTTCACTTCTAGAATGCCATTGCCAGCAGCAATGCTACCATGCTGGCTTTGCCAGCAATGCTGTTGGTAGCACATTATTCAGATGTACTTGTGATGGAACATTCACTCTAATGTGCAACAACCTATACTTCAGAGGTTCTTATCCAGGACCTTACAGTAATGCCTTCAGGCTGATAACTGGTAAAGTCAGGTATTTCAGATTAATCTGTCTTTACTGACCTGAATTTGGACTGCATTCCTTGAGCGCTGTGAGGCCTGAGGGTGGCTGAGACACAAAACAAGAGTCATGCCCACATCTTGTTTTATCTCAGGCCTGTAAGGGAGCAATCAGGAGGTGCCAAGCTGGGCCCAGGTGTGCCAGGACCCCCTCAGCTCCCTGGCTGAGGCTGCCAGCCCTGACCCAGGGCTGAGTCTCTACATGTGCTGCTGTATCTGACCCAGAGCTGTTGGTGAACCCTTATTGAGGAACAAACACCTGTTTCAGTTCAATGAGCCAAACCAAGCAAGGAAGCAGTTCCTACTCTGGCAGAGCCTGCTGGAGAGGAAAAATAGGTTATAACCTGACTGCATTAAATCCATGTTCTCAGGCCACCACTGTCCTTTACTCCAAGACCAGGCAAGCAGTGTTTCAACATGGGCAGGGAAGGAATCACTGACACCTCCTGGGTATTTTTAATACAAATCTTTATTTGTGAAATACAGGGGAAGTTCAGAAAAATCCTTAAAAGCCCTCAGTCATCCACATTTTACTGCTGCTTTGGTTTTGGTCCAGCTAACCAAAACCTTTTATCCAGGTCAGGCTGGATTTGGTTTGTGTTCATTCCAAGATCGGAATGAAAGAGCAACTTTGTTGGGAAAACAGGACAAAGTACAGAGCTGTTGTGCCAGTAGAAAGAGAAAAATAAATAAAGTCACTTTAGTGACATGTTTTAAGGCCGTTGCCTGTACCAAGATGAAACGAACCAAAGATATTCAGGATACATTTACTTTCAGTTCAGGCAGGTTAGTGGAAAACCTGCATTTGACTCCAACAGCAAAGGCCCCAAGTCAGTTAAATTCATGGCAACAGCACAGTTTGACAACAATGTGTATTTCAGTTTGCCTGGAATATTTAAAAAAAAATACACAGTATATTCATTACAGCACACACATGCACCGATGTCAATACATGGTGAGGTTTCTAGCAAACATATGTCTGTGGAGAGGAACAAAAAGAAAGAAACATATTAATGGAAAGAATGCTAATATTGTATCCAACTAAAAATGCAAAAATTAACCTGAGCACATTTAGAAAACCTTAGCATAGCTCTTCTATACTGGAGTTAGAGCAAGGTAGACAGGGGGAAGAAAGCAGCAATAGCTTTGAAAGAGCCCCAGCACTCAACTGTGTCAATTGAAAATGTGAAACACATGCTTACCTATAGTGTGTGATATAAATTATATCTGGTTCATGCTTTAAACCATGGTTTTTCCAACACTAGCACTCTGATACTAATTTTGGAATATGTTCAAACTATTTAACAAGGCTTTAAAGTAATTTGGAGAAAAATTCCTTTTCTCACTCGCAACAAAAAAATCCACCTTCCAAAACCTTCCAGATCTGTCTGCAGATTTTATCAGTTATTTGCAATTTAATTATTTCTCTTTTCTTACTTCCACTGTGCAAGGCCAGGATGCTGCAGTTTTCATTATATGCAGCATATTGTCAGTAGCTTATGAGCTGCTGTGGACAAAAGCCAAGGCTAATACAATATAGTTAAAACAAGCACCACAAAATGCCACAATGGTTTAGGCAAAGACCACAAACGCCAGGAGATCTGTATCTCAGTTATATCACCTACGCAGTGTGATGATTGCATATGTCATCGGACAGGCAAAAGCCCTCTAGCTCCCAGCTCTTAGGCAGATTAACATTATTGTGACAGTTGAGGAATCAGCTGAAAGCATGTGATCAAACACTACACGAGAATTCCAATCACAGCAGGGCTATAGGAACTGCTATACGGGGAATTATTGCTTAAGAATACCTCTAAAGTAACTGCTGAGCAAAACTCCACAGTAGTACAAGTAACAAGTTACATGTTCATCTGAGAAGCATGGGTATATCTGCAAACTACTTACCTCCTCATGACTGCAGCACAACCCACACAGTCCTCCAAGAATGCCATTGATTATCTGTATGAAGCATAGAATGAATTCTATTCCTCCCAAAACAAGCAGGATGGAAAAGAGGGTGACGTTCCACTGCACGATGTTTTGAGGTTCCTGACATGCAGACCACTTGTTATACTCAAACAAGTACCTGTACACAGCAATTAAAAGCATATTAACATTGTGTGAGAGTAGGATACTTACCATATACTATAGCCAAATTATGTCTAGCCTGTAACTGCATTGAGGCTATTCACTCTATGGAGTCCTAATAGGCTAGGTTCCCTTAGAAATAAATTCCTAAGGGAATAGAAAAAGCAATCGTTTACTCCATGCAAGGTTTCTTTGGTTTAGGAAGATGTTGAAATATCAACCACACATTTTTGCTAAGTCTTAATTTCTTTTAAAAAAAATAATCCAAGGTATAAAGGCAGGTTAGGGTTTCCTATCGCTGGTTAAAGTGAGGCACAAACTCAAGTAAGCTGAAAGAGCAAAGGTTTTTCTCAAAACAATCACATGAGCTTTGCAAGATTGGGCTTTTTTTCTAAAGACAGCCATCATTGATCTTGGGCAAATGGGTCACTTTCTCTCCGGTGTCACTGTCTTTGGGCCCTCATATGCTTACTTGGATGAGCCAAACACAGAAAAATTTGGTGAGGTACTGCGGTATTTCAGCTGTTACTGCTCACTCACACCTTGAGAACGACAACACTTGCCTTCAGCAAGGACCTAAACCAGTTCTTCTACACTCAGTCACAGTCAGAAAGATGGAGAAAGAGGAATGATACAAGTGAAATACAAGATATACAAGAGATAGAAGTGAAATATAAAATTCAAACTCTGCTGCAAAGAGCTTTATGTGGCTTCTTAGTACTCCAACTGTCTCTAGTCTGGCATCAGCCATAAAATGTTGCTAGATACACCCTTGAGGTTGCCAGCCATACAGCCACTTTAAATGCCCACCATGAGATGAACCACATCAGAATTTATGTGCATTAATGGAGAATAGCACACTGAGACTTTTTTTGCAGGAGAACCTTAATTAGGGTTAGTTAGGAGCTTCTTGCCCTCTCTGCCCTGCAGTGTACAAAGATTCTTATAAATCTTCTCAAGTTTCATTTATGAGATTCTATGCCATTGTCACTAATGTGGGCATTGTGCCACTTTATGCTGGTGCAAAGCAGCTTCAGAAGCAAATTTGACAAAACAGACTCTTACAAACGATAAGACAAATATCTTAACAACCTCTATTCCTAGTTTGTAAATCCTTCAAAGTCCTAAAGCTTTATATTTTGTTAGAGATGTTCCTGGACATGAACAGTATATGATGTATAGATTTAATCACCTATTTTTTTTTATGGCTTTGATTTTGTACTCTAGCAGCAAGGGTAACTGATGCCATTTGTTAAGTTTGAATTGGGAAGGATAGAGTTATGAATAGATTTTGGTATACGGTTACTGAGCATTGCTGAAAGGTACTGGAATAAAGCCATGTGTACATTGGCAAGAGATAACATCCTCATGAACAGACGACTCACCCTCCAGAGGAGTCAGTGAAAGGATAGATCCAGTTTCTTTCTGGGCGGGTGAGACAATATGGTCCTTGAGACAAGCCCAGCGCTGAAATGATTATACAGTACCCAGAGCCAAGGATCCCAACAAGGGCTGCCAGAACTGAGGACAGCATCTGCAGAGCAGACATAAACATGAGCTTCAGCACAGCCACGGCCTTGTCTTCGGGCTTACCTGGACTGGGATGCACAGGCTCACTTACCGCGCAGCTCTTCCCACAGCAGTCGTCATTGTGAAGCCCAATGAACACTGCAGCTGGAATGAGTACCTGGGTATGGAGCAAAAAACCCACACTGTTCCTTGTGGTTGCACAGAGAGGGCAGATATAATACAGTACTCAAACTGCATTCATTTATGTTGCTTCTTGGCAGTAAGCTGTACAGGTCATTCAGCTTCAGTCCTATTTAACACAGTAGGCATCTCACTACTGACATCACCAACCCCAGGACACATACATTTCTATTGCCACTGTGGCAATATTGCACTTAAGCACAGAAAGAAACACAAAACACCTTAGCATGCAATTGTTTTCAACCTGTGATTTGCAGACACCTTGAGACCATAAAATCGTAGAGTCTTAAGAATTGGAAGGGACCTATAACCTATTTCTAAGAGGACTTGTAAAAGAAGATGAAAAAGGAAGCCTGGAGTTAGAGGTCTTAAATATGCTGCAGTGTGATCCACAAAACTGAAAAGATAGAAAATAAGAACTTCAGCTTAATGACATCCTATAATAAACACACTCAGTCCTTGCACCCTGTTACTCAAATGCAAAGCTTTGACAACTACCACTCAATTCCTCTGAATAAACAGCTAAGTCAGAGAAATACCTGTCAGCATGTCAGATAATAGAAATTAGGGATTATATCTAAATGCTCATTATTTAGGGACATTTAAAAGGAAAGTAGTTCAATAATATAACAAAAATTTAAGATTTAACCCTTTATGCTAACTGTGACTTGCTGAGAGGCTTGGTTTCACTTTTGCATTTGGATTCTGTGCCACTGACCCTATGATTTTTTAGCTTTAAAGTGACATAATGTTGTAGATAACAAAATCAATAATAATTAATTATAGCTATGGGATAATATAGCTCTTTTTTATATATACAACTACAGAGACACCTGTTGACAAAAATATTTGATGAATAAATTCAGGTAACCAGTAGAGAAGGAGCAGTACCAAGTACCTCCAAAATAAATTTGAAAGAAGACACTAGGTTATTACTTACCAGAAAGCCTCCACCTAGAATGCCGTGAAGGCACTCCACATATTTGCTGAGGTGATGCTCTGAAGCAAATCTTGTTTCACCATTGGGAAAATAAAGTAAAGTGTTGGCCACAATGCAGAGGAGGGCAAGGATGAGCAACTTATAACCAACACATCTAGCACGCCTTCCAAAACACATATTTTCAACTTTAAAAATCCTCCTTCAACTTGTCCGATTCAACCTATCTCACAACTGTCCACACCTAAAAGAAGATCAGTGTTATTCTCACCTCCTTAAATACCAGGGGTTACCCAACTACCTAGATGACGTTTAAAACCCTTCCTAACCACCATCCTCAATTGCAGAGTGAGAGGGCAGGGATGGCAGAACACCACCGCCCTTTTAAAATGCATTAATTGTAGATTAACCAAATGCGATGAAGGAAATACTGAATACTAGGTGATTTCACACAAACATATGATGCTTGGAATAATCATTGGTGAACATGATTAGATGTGAACAACAGGCTTAAACCACAACACAAGTTCTGTTAGGAACTGAAGGAAAGATGTTTTGTTTTCTTTGTTAGAAGCAGCTTTGAATTTTAGGTTTATAGGCTGATTCAGAACAACCTGAAGCCAGGGAGAGACTTGGCTGACTTCAACAGCATTGAGTCAGAGTTTTGGGTATAAACAGAAAAAGGTCTACAGCAATGAGAAGTATGTAGAGCAGCCTCTAACTTTACTATCCTGTTGACAGAACAACAGAAAACCACACCAGGAGGTTTGAAAACAAATAAAAGGAACAGGTAAGCTTCTTAGGATTGTTCTTATTCTTTCCATTATAAGACAAGGTAATTTAGATTAACAATCAATTAGTAAATGGTTTGGTAACAGCTAAACCAAGCAAACACTCATGAAAAATACTGCTTAAAAAAAGGATTATAAAAGAGAGTCCTTGCACTGAAATACCATATATAGAACACACACAAAAAGAAAAATGCCAAGAAAGAAACAGATTATATCCAAGGTTTCCAAATGGTGTTTTATGTACCAGCAACATTAATTTCCATGGTAAATAGAGACACAAAATGCACTATAAAAATTAAGATCTTTTCTCTTTTCCCTTTTCTCTTTTTCCTCTTGCAGATTTTTCTAAAATAGCCCAGAGCCTTTTTCTTCAGACACAGCTCAAGACAAAGGTGTGAGCTGCCATGCCTACTGCCCTCACATGACAGCAGGTAACGAAAATGCACAGGCCCAAACCAGATCCAGGTGCTGCTGCTGCCATCATCACAGTACAACGTATTTCTCATTGCAAAACCAGAAGCTAGACAAATGGAGTTTGGGAATGTACAGGATATTAGAAGACTATAATGAAACTTTAAAAAAAACATTCAGGTTTCATTTTTGAAGGTGGAGTGGGGTGTGTTTAATAGCTAAATAACATGGTATACACAAGCCCAAGTCAAAACCATGGTATTCTTGCAAGAGATGTGTGCAAAAATAAAAGGTGGGGGGTGAAGCAGGGGAAGAGAGCAGGCTGGTGCAGCTGTGGCTTTGTGATGTAACTTCTCCGGGTATTGTAGATGCTGACCTTGGAGACTTCCTTCATTATGAGAAATATCCTCCAATTGTACAAACACAGGCTGGCCATTATTGTGTGCTTCACCTCTAATGACTAAAACAACCCTAAACATTATTCTGCAAGTTTCCTCTGCAGAAGAAGACAGACGCTCAACTGAAAACTTCCTTTATTTTGTTGGGCTAAAAGCCCAAACCACTCCTTCCCCAAAACTCACCACCCAATACTCTTCCCCTCACCTCAACAATCACACCAACATATCACCTGTGGGACATGGATTTAAAACCCTAGCCCTAGTCATATATTTGAAAACTTGTAAATTTGTTCTATTTACAACTTAAATAATGGTTTTCTAAATACTTCATTAAAAAAAAAGTCATCAAGAACATCCTGTATTTAAAATCAATTCTATATTTAAAATATCTTCCAATGACCTTGAAAACAGAAGAGAAAGAAAGAAAGAAAGAAAGAAAGAAAGAAAGAAAGGAAGAAAGAAAGGAAGAAAGAAAGGAAGAAAGAAAGAAAGAAGGAAAGAAAGAAGGAAAGAAGGAAAGAAGGAAAGAAGGAAAGAAAAGAAAGAAAGAAAGAAAGAAAGAAAGAAAGAGAAAGAAAGAGAAAGAAAGAAAGAAAGAAAGAAAGAAAGAAAGAAAGAAAGAAAGAAAGAAAAAGAAAGAAAGAAAGAGAAAGAAAGAAAGAGAAAGAAAGAAAGAAAGAAAGAAAGAAAGAAAGAAAGAAAGAAAGAAAGAAAGAAAGAAAGAAAGAAAGAAGGAAAGAAGGAAAGAAGGAAAGAAGGAAAGAAAGAAAGAAAGAAAGAAAAAGAAAGAAAGAGAAAGAAAGAAAGAAAGAAAGAAAGAAAGAAAGAAAGAAAGAAAGAAAGAAAGAAAGAAAGAAAGAAAGAAAGAAAGAAAAGTATTTGATGCAAATACAATTTTTTTACATTGAAAGATCTGGTCAGGTGTGAATCAAGGGGGCTTCACTAGTGCCACTGCCATTTGGACACCCTATGATACAGCTTCCACCAGAAAGTCTAACCAGAATATAACTTTTCTTTGCAGAATTTCTGGTGGTCCCACCCACCATCAGAAAAAGGTTAATGGAGGAAAGTGACTCTCATGGAAGCACTGACAGGATGTGGTAACTGTATGGCATCTGCAGGTGAAACACAGCAAAGGAAATAATGGCATGGGCTTCACAGACTCATTTGGAAAGACTGGGCAACATAACATATGTATTTACACAGGTCAATAATTCCCACTTGTATTCTCTTTTAAGCTGTTCTCCTTTGGTCTTTTACTGTTTGACAGGTTGCTGCTCACGGAGGCCAGTGATGGCTCAGACAATTGTTGGGAACACAGTGGGAATGTGCGGTCACCAGTTGGCCAAACTAAGGGCAGGGTCTTGGCCAGCTGTGCAGACAGAGCTCCTGGTGACCTCAGGGCAGCTCCAACTCCCTTTGACCCATCAATGCTGCCGTCCATTTCTCAATGTTCAAATGGTGCATTACCCGTGTTTTCCAGTAATCATCCACAAAAAACACTGTGATGCAGCTGTAATTGTCCTCACCACCTCTTAAGCTTATATTGGTTGACAAACTCGACCTGGATAGTCACAAGAGGAAACTCCTCCTCATGAAGCCCTTGGTACCTATGGTCTCCTGGCCACAGAGAGAAGAAAGTCTCCAGATTACTTTTATTAATTAGATCACAGCTCCTCATGAACTAATGAGCTACTTATGAGCACAAGCAACTACCTACTGTTATGAGAGCAATTGCTGCTAACACAGCTGTAACACACATGCACGTGCTTGCTTGCTATCTCTGTCACCTCTTTGAGACAGAAATCTGATCTGAACAAGAGAAGTCAGCGTGGAGTGAGTGCTCACACCTCTGTGTAACACCACACACTGACACATACAGAAAACATTTCGTTTATTAGTAATAATGCTGACCTAAGAAGGAGTCAGCAACTATGCAACAAAAGTAGCTTTTCCATTTAACCTACCAGTTTGGAGACTGAAAAGCATACAATCAGGGCAGAGCTACCACTAAATGAGTGTACAGAAATCCCTCTCTTTAAAGAAGAACCCATAAACATTACTTAAGAACAACTATTACTGACCCTGGACTTGCAATACCACAATCAAATAAACCACTTCAAACACTGTTTTCTGGTGACATACAAAAACCATGCTGTAGCCTGCATTCATTAATTCTTCCAACAATGTTATTATGATAAAAGTAGGACATGGGACAAACAAATCCTTTTTCTATTTCTGCAACAGCCTGTGGGTGAAACCTTGGCCTTGCAAAATGGCCACAAAAGTTTGTTTCACCTGGACTGTACTATTTACCCACAGGTTTGCATTTTAGATTTCTAGTCTATCCCTAAAAGTGTGATGTTCTTGCAAAAGTTAAACAAGCATGAGGCATTAGCATCACTGTGCTATAAGCATCCTCTCTTCTACATTGTGTGTTTGTAATGACTGTATGGGTCAGAAAACTGACATCAGTTTGGCATGCAAAGTCTGCATAGCACAGTACAAGGAACAGACGGTCTTACAGATCGCAGTGTGTCACTGATGTCTCCCCTCTCCTGCAGCAACCACAAAAAACAGACATTGGAAACATGGAACAAAAATTACCAGTGTTATGTCTTTGGGTCTTGTGGTGCAAAAGTCAGTCATTAATTACCTTTGTGTTTTTCATAAAGTGATCCTGTTGGTAGTGAACTACTAATCCAGAAGAAAAAAACCTGACTGCCTCTATCATACCATGTATTTTAGATCTGTAAGCTCAAAAAATGAAAGAAAATTGAAAAGTACAAAATTATTTGCCTGGTTTTTTTTTCCTTAGCATATGCTTCATACATTGATCATGCAGTCTTGCATCTGGAATTAGCCATTCGTAAGTTCATGTCAATTAAATGTTTTAATTATACTTGCTGAACAATCCCACAACCCTTGCTTTGGCTGGGAACAGTCTACATATTGATTCCACAGCAGCAGGATGGGAAATTAATGTTTAAATTTAACATGTCTTTCACATTAGCATGACTAACATTCCAGCATGTTGTCTTTATTTGCATATCTTTCAGCATCAGTAGCTGTTGAATCAGACATCACAACCAGAAAAGCAAATCAGACATGATCACAAGACTCTTAAAAAATTAATTATTTCCTAAACTGCAATCCCATCCTTCCATCAATCTTTGCTATCATCATTCAAGCTGGAATTCTGAAATCCATTTAACAATATACACTCAGCACACAGAATCTTTGCTACAAGACGTTCCTTAAAATGGCGGTCAATGATAAAACCAACTATTTAACTCATGTTCCTCCAAGGGGTCTGAAAAATGTTATACAAAAGTAGCATTTTTAGTAGGATGGAATTTTTAGGAAAACCCCCAAAACATTATTTAAAAAATATTTTTAAAAACAATTAAAAAGAACCAATTAAATACCATTATTAAAAAACTAATTAGTCACAGAGGATTATTTTTCATCTAAGTAACATTTGAGGGACAAAAGCAGAAGAAAATAACATTTAATGCTGATTATGATTTAATTAATTCTTAGTAATTTTTTAAGGTAACATACTGGAACAACACAGCTG